AAATGCAGAAAATGGGTCATTTTGTCAATTTTGATGCAATAATAAATAATGCCTATAAAAGCACTGCCAATCAACACTGAATTTTAATCATGCACAACGGGTAACATGGTCAATAACAGGAGCAGATGCAGAGGTATTTTCTGACAGTATTCCAAATTATCTTTGTTGATCCATCCTCCATTTTTGATGGTCTTCCAACAGAAAAAACAGATACCCATCAATGTGAACTTTAAAATCTGACCGTCATCTGAAAGACCCAGAAGACGGCCTCAATCCGCCCCTGCAATAAGATTACAGTTTCAGGACCGTGAGAGTTCAAATTCACATAATGAAAATCCCAATATTTGAAAAATGATGACAGTGCATAAAATAATATTACATAATGTTTAAAGACATAAAAATCAAGCAACTGCTTATGTGGAAATACAGAAAATGTGAAGAGCTTCAGGTGGATGCATATGGGAGCTGAAAATGCCAGTGTTTGAAAAACAAATTGTAAAGAAAACACAACAAAAAATATTCCAATAAAGCTGTTACTTAAACTTTTAATCTTGCTGTATTAACATGATATGAATAACCCCAATGTGTTTGAGGATAATAAAGCACTGTTATTCATCTATAGCATTAATGTTGGCGTTACACAAAATTTTTCTTTTGTAAACTTAGTTGCAATATTAAACAATATTTACCTGCATAATTATCACTAATTCCTAATTATGTGGCACAGTTAAGAGAGCTTAACCTATGGGACTTTACTGGGAAATCTCAACGTGTGTTTTATGTAATCTTATTTAATGGGCACTTGGAAATTAATTAGGCAAGTGATTTTATAGCTCTGAATTTAGCTTGTGACTACCCCAAGGGACAATTACCACCATCCATAAACAGTAGCCCCATATAGCACTCTATAGATCTGCATTGCTTCCAAACAGAAAACAATCACACTGATTTTCCAACACAAACTGCACTTCAGTCTTATGAAACTTTTCAGTAAGTTTGAGTATCATAAGTAACATGGTTTTTCCTTAATGGTCATTCCAGCAGCGATGTCCAAAATAGGGTTTTCTTCAATTTTTATGCAATATAACATAATGACCATCAATTTTTAATAATAGAATAAAAGTATCATGGATGTTCAGAAAATGTGACATGGAAAGGTCTTCAAGGCCATGGGAGTTCAGAGTCACACCCTCAAAATGCCAAAATGTAAACAAGAGATAACTGTACTGAAATGATTTTCTTTCCACTTTCAACACTTTTTTTACATATAACAAAATAATCAATTTATTGTCATTTTTAAATGAACAACTAAGAAAATTGTTGACATAGGAAAAATATAAATAGAACATTTTTAAATGTCCAGTTTGCTCCATTCTGAGATTCTGAACATGGTGAATGATTGAATCTTACAAACTGTAAAGATATGAGTTTATTTCCATTTTTTGACACTTTATTACACAATACACAATAACAGGTTTACCATCATTTTTATATAATCAACTAACAATATTGTTAAGATGCAGAAAATGTCAAAAGAACACCTTTACATATTTAATTAGTTCACAAATGAGATTGTTAACATGACTAAGAATTAAATCTGACGAAAAAACACTTATATACAAAAAAAGGCATAACTTTACCAAAACTAACCAATCGAGCTTATTTTCTAACTTCATCTGTATTTCAGTAAGACTGATCACCCCTGTGAATTTCATGACAATTAGCCAATTGATTTTCCTTGAAATGCGTTATCGGTATTGCATATATGCTGAAAAAAGTGAAATAACAGCATAACTTCCATAAAATTGGTCCGATCACACTGATTTTCAAACTTGACCTGCGTATTATGAATATCCATCAGTTTTGTAAGTTTCAAGCCAAAAGGTAAAATGGTTTTTCACTTATCGTGTTATCAGTGTTGCACATATGCTGCAAAAAAAAAAAAAAAAAAAAAAAAAAAAAAAAAAAAAAAAAACATAACTTTTATAAAAATAGCCCGATCATACTGATTTTCGAACTTGACCTGCGTATAATGAATGTTCATCAGTTCTGTAAGTTTCAAGCCAAAAGGTAAAATGGTCTTCCACTTATCATGTTATCGGTATTGCATATATGCTGAAAAAAAGTGAAAAAACAGCATAAATTCCCTAAAAATGATCCCATCATGCTGATTTTCGAACTTGACCTGCGTATTATGAATATTCATCAGTTCTGTAAGTTTCAAGCCAAAAGGTAAAATGGTTTTCCACTTATCGTGCTATCGGTGCTGCATATATGCTGAAAAAAGTGAAAAAACAGCATAAATTCCCTAAAAGTGACCCGATCATGCTGATTTTCAAACTTGACCTGCGTATTATAAATATTCATCAGTTCTGTAAGTTTCAAACCAAAAGAAAAAACAGTTTTCCACTTATCGTGTTATCGGTAAAAGTGCACGGCGACGGCGACGATGGCGACGGCGACGACAGACGCAGATGATGGCTATATGTACAGACACATCTGTGTCTGTACATAAAAAGGTTCACTTTTATCTGGCAAAATCCCCCATCCCTTGAAATTGCGAGCTACTGTACCGTTACGGCTACCTGAAGATATACTAGGACATATAAGCTTGGAGTTGATAACTGATAGATCAGATTACCACGTACGCTCTGTCTGCTGCGTTCTATTGAAATAAAAAAGGGACTTGTTGTTGAAAAGGTGTTCTTTTAAAAGAGTAACAACTCTTCATTTTGGAGTGAAATATGCCATATAATACGAAGAATTTTCCTGAGGTAAACGACGATATCCCCATACTTAGCAAAGGTTAATTAATCCAACCTGACATTGAAAGTTTGTCCATTTTTTAAAATTGTATTGTAATTTTTGAGTCAGGATCTTCAGTAACATTATACAATGCCATATCAAGTCAAAATTAAAAGTTTTAGATCCTGTTGTTATTGTATCACAATAATAAAAATAACAGTCTAGCTTTTTTTCCACTAGAAAGGTTACGTAGGGCCTAGTTGATTCACAACAAGCGCTGATACCTGTGTAACGTTAGTAATTGACAGCATGCAGCGAATAAGAGCGGGGAGTGTTTAGTAGAGTAACGTAAGTTGATTGACANAACCTGTTCTAGTCACATGGGACCCGGGCTTCAATTCCTAGCTCTAACATTCCTGTCACAACGGGTCAAACCAGTAAAGACTTGGGTTTCTCTACTATAGCATTCTTTATTCAGGTTTGCAATCTGTTTCACAACTGTAGCATTTTTAACTCGGTTAGCAGTCTCTCTACAGCACCAATCTTATTGCTCTCAGATTTCTACTTCATAAATTGTTGTGAATATCAGAGTTTTAAACGCCTGTTTTACAGGATAATTGACAAACACTGGTAATTACGCGTTACTTCTGTCCTTGTCTGGTATATCACCCTTCACGCACTTAAATTTCTATTAAACATACATACCGTACCGTATTTGAATAATTCGAAAGCTTGTGCCCCACAATTAACTCAACTGATAGTATCTGAATTATTCTAAAATGATGCAATCTATAAACAAGTATATCTTTATTTTCTACCCCAAAAGAAAATATCAGCGTAGGCGTATGTGTAGCAACAGTGGCGTCTTTCTCACAGTTTGAAAAAGACGGGTATGGTCGTGTTGCTGCTAGTGAAGCCACGCGCAACCACTTTACGGAAAGCGAAACAACCGCCCTTTAATACGAAACAATACCAACCACAGACCTACCCAACTACCAGACTCGGCACATAAGGATCCTGAATTAACCGGTATATCGCACCACACTACCTGATTTCAAGGTGTGTGTCAGATCGCATTTCGGAGTATCATATCCTAGAACAAATTTTGTAGTACGACCGTGGGCTCATCCTGACGGTGTTCTGACTGATACTCCGAAATGCGATCTGTCATTCTATAATAATATGTCGCATATAGGTGATATATATATATATATATATATATATATATATATATATCCTTCTAAATTAGTAATCACTGTATCATGCATAGTCAAGTAGACAGGTAGCTGTGGGGCAAACGTGGGACCCCCCTTCCCCCCTCCCCTCACAGGTAGGTAAATTATTACCTTCAACTTAAGATGTGCAAGATATGTATCAATGTTGAGCACAGGTTCAATTCAGGCATCTGTCTCCAGAATAAGATTATGAACAAAGAGTGTTGATGTCATTTTGAAAACATTTTCTTGGACAAAAGGTCTAAAGGAAAGCAACTTGCTGATTGGTTGAAAAAAATTAAGGTAAACAGTATGTTTCGGAGCATAAAATACAGGGCTAAGATTTACAGGCGCCCATTGCTGGTGCTATTTGTGGTCTTTCAACTTAGTGTGCTATACTTCGTCTCAATGGAGGACAAAATTCACAGACGCCTTAATGAAAAGGAACTAACGTCTTTTCATCAGCAAACTGGACGAGTAGACGAACAAGAACTGAAGCAAACTGCTGAAAGTTCTGAGGCTACATGCAAAGCAAAAGCAGCCAGGCGTTTTCCAGATCTGTACACTATTGCTTCAGCTCAGTTGGATGAAATAAATGCGGAAGACCAGCATTTCGTCTCATATAAAGGAACTCGATGTTTCAAATTTGGTACTCTGAGGCGAAAGGAAAAGAATGGGTGTGTTTGTCAGAAAGGTTGGACTGGAAACGCCTGCAGCATACCAGAAGTTGCACGGGTCAGGATATCGAAACTCCCACAAGAAATTCAAAGAAAAATAAAAGTTCGCAAACATCCAAGAAAGGTCGTCATTTCAATGCTCCTGAATCACGAATTTGACACTTTGGAAGCGCTTTTGCACGAGCTAACAGGGTTGGTCGACGTAGTGATGATAGAAGAGTCGAATTTCACGCTTCACGGGGACCCCAAATTACCTTTGTTATACCAAAAACTACAAGATGGATACTTGTGTGATTTTTACTCAAATATCATCTATATTTATTTAGACCACTTTTTGGCAATCGGTAAAACGAACGGATTTAAAATGGAGCGGTATGCAAGAAACTTTCTCAAAAAAGGATTCCCGAGTATTGCAGCACTACGACCAGACGATCTGTTTCTTCATCTTGACGCCGATGAGATCCTGTCCCGTGATGCAATAGCCTTTCTCAAATTCCATGACGGGTACCCTGAGCCCTTTGGCTTTGTTCTTAGGTGGTCTGTGTACGGATATTTCTGGAAAATGAACCGTGTTTGGACAGTGCAGTCCGCAGGGTGTTCGGTAGGCATGCTCCGCCAAGTTTTTGACAACCAACCTGGTACGCTGCGAAAAGGATTAGGCGAGGTAAAAAAGAGTAAGGTATCAGAATACAAGAAAGGAGGAAAAGATGTATTGGTATGGCAACTTGGGGAACAGGGTAAATTTGCCGGATGGCATTGTTCATGGTGCTTCGATATAAATGGCATCAAAACGAAGTTGACATCTGCCTTGAGTGGGGATGGAGAGCGTTTTGGTGATGATCCGAAAAAGCAGAAATTAGACTTCCTTCGTACCTTAGTGAGAGAGGGACGCTGGTTTGATGGCAATTATCTGGAGCCAAAAGGCATGAAGATGGCCTCTCCCGCTACCGACAAGTTTTTCGCACCTAATTTTATATTATCAAATAAGGAGAGGTTTAAACATCTTATCACAAACTATCTTTTGGATGAAAACGAAAAAAATACATAAAGAGGACACCGCATTAAGTGAGCCAGTGAACAAAGATTCTGTAACATTCAGCAGTTTTTTTTTATGAAAAATACTTTGTGTGATCGCATATGTGTACACTGTTTAGTCGCCAATTTATTGTTTTTTTTTTTTTTTTTTTTTTTTGGATGAAAACGAAAACCTTCCTCTCTATGTTTATATGTTCTGCATGTAAACTGTGTGCTTTTGTATTAGGCAGTATATTCTATATTGAAGTCAATCACCTGACCAACAAGTGACACGCCTTTAAAAGCAAAAAGGAAACATCATGGCCATAAAACTGTCACAGGGATGATTCAAGGCGGGAAGCGGAAAGCCTTGGGACACAATTTTCATCGTAGTCGCGTGATATTTTATCTGTCAAACAGGTATGAGTTATGAGATCCAGGGGAAGGCACCGTTATCACGCGCTCCACCCCTTAGCTTCCGCGAAATCCCATTCACCCCCTCCCACAGAGCTTTATAACGAGATAAGAAGGCAAAATCCAGCAGTTTTTCCATTCCCTTCATATTGTAGTAGAAAAATACCTGAGCGAAAACCAAGATAAAACTCAGAGCTGCATATGAAAACGGACTAAATATTTAAGTTGCGCAGACAAAGATGGTGCTGATCGGTTAGAGACTAATTTTTAAGATATTGAGAAACGACACTCTTGGCACTAAAAAAAGGCTATGGCAGTTATGTACATGTAGATATGCCAAAGGATCGACAGGATACGATATAAGTCATAACTATACTGCTATAAGAACAAAAGTTATCAGGTCATCTTTCTTTCATTGATTACTAATTTACCCTTTCTTTTAATCTGCAAGTTAATTGAGAGATCTAGATGAAATGAAAATAAAGTAATTCATAAGAATTTACACATACATGTATGTGGCATTATCGCATTATTCATCGCTGTCTTGTACAGTCAACTCACTTATTACAATTATCATAAGACAAAACTGTGTGGTCATTACAGTTATATTGAATGGACCTAAGTGAGAATGATGATGAGACGACGAACGTAATGTGGATGTTCTAAATAAATTGATAAGTTTTCTCGACGATAGGAAACAAATGAGCCCGATCAACATGCAACAAAGTACGAGTTATTCATTTAATGCGCTTAATTCGCATGTTTATTTTAGAACTCGTGGAGGAAATCAATTTTGATGTATTCATAGTGCTGAAAATTTAAAACTGTTTATTTTCTACAATTTACCTAAAAGCGTACCTGTTATAGCTTTCGTCCCAGCATTTGGGACTCCATCAGTCACTCTACAGTTATAGTGTAGAAAATTGAACAGTTTTAAAAATCCATCATTATAGAACATTATTTACATAACATTACTACACAGACAAATTTCAATCGGAATTTTATGTATATTTTTATAAAAAGTTGATAAATTATTATTATTATTATTATTGTTATTATTATTATTATATACTGAAACTGCTGCACAGTTTAACTACTCTACACCATGCCCTTGTGTGTGTGAGATAGCTAATCCTACTAAAATAGTCATTAATTCAGGTATAATATATCCTATCTTCTTCATGTACTTGTGCAGTAGAAATAAACACTTTTTCAGTAAGATGTATAATTGTTTTCTGTTTTATTCACCATTCGAGGCGCTTCCGCTTTTTAAGGTTTCCTATCTGGTATTTTCATCGTTTTTTTTAAGAAAGTATTTTTTTCCGAAATAACGAATTAATGCTTGGTCCGACCTGCACTTGGATTTGATACATCGTTTTGAATTTTAAAAAAATAGCTCTGAATGTTTAATGCAACGTTAAGTTCTTGACCCCCAAAACTTCATGTCCATTTCAGAAAAAAAAAACGACATCAGGTAGTTTTATTTGAGGGGTTATGTAGTATTCAAGCTCTGAATTGGGAAAGGGGAGTAGCTTTTGCAGGTTGTGAAGACACGCAAAAATTACCTTGGGGCAGTTTCAAAAGCGGTTAGTATACCATTAAACTCCATTCATCTATGGAGGACGGAGTTAATTGCTTGCGACGCGGTAAGCCACTTCTTCCTGAGTATAATATATATGTTTCACTTGTGTGAGAGAGAATAACTGACAATGTCACTTAACATGATGGGAAAATGCAGCATCTCATTTAAGCAATCTCTCTACTGTGCTTTAACGTTTTCTTACGGCTCTCCTACACAAGAAATACGATTATCAGAAACAATTTGCAACGAACTTGATAGGGTAATGGGCCGTCATATGAGATAAGATAAGAACCGTAGTACTCACTTTTAATTTAAGATAATTGTATGGAAATTAATATGCAAATTAATACTCATTTAATATTCATATGTCTTTATGGCGATCTTTGGGTAGACGGCTTATGTAATTGTAAGAGCTCTTACTGTTCTAAAGCGGTTTTTTTTACTCTCCTATTAAAAGTGCATATGTCTACCCTGAAATTTTCCCACATTTGACATTTCCCTGAATGTCTCACTTTCGCCTCTTCAATTACATTTCTTACATGTTAAATAGTTGTAGGGGAGCTTTCTCGAATTTATCCGGTTGGCATGAATATAAATTTGACAAAAAGCAGCAGAAAAAGTCACTATCATTAAGTAAAGTGATACAGACCCGAATCTTTCGGACCCCCTCCCCCCCCTTTGAAACCCCCTTTTTGCTGGGAAAACGTCCACTCTGGGTAAATATGATCTAGGTAAACAAAGGTTTCATGACATAAAGGTCCACATCTTCAGAAAAAGAATATCCCCCCCCCCCCTTGTGTAATTGCTGGCTACGGGCATGTGTTATACATATACATACTGTATACTGGTCTGGTGCGCTTACAGATGTATATGTCCCTGGGGAAGCGACCGCGTTTCGCTCAAAGCTAAGGAAGAATTAATCTAAACCTTGGCCTCATATGAATGGGCGTTCCAACTGCCAGTCATTACGACGGCTAAGTGTCAGCCTCTCAGATTGCCGAAAGGTAAACATGTACCACTAAAACAGTTCCCCCCCCCCTCCAAAAAATAAAAAATAATTAAATAAATAAATAAATAAATCAGTTTATCCCCCCCCTAAAAAAAAAACAAAAAAAAACAGAGCTTGGAGAAGTTATATTTTAATTAAAAGTCATTATGAAGTATTTCTGATCAACATTTCGATGGCGGGTATTTCTGGAATTTTGGAAAACAGACGGCGAGTTTTTTTTTTTTTTTTTTTTTTTTTTAATAACATTCGCTCTCAGGCAAGGGGATACGTGAACATATTTTATTTACTAGATAAATAATCAATAACCATTGATCTATTTTTAACAAAGCTGTTGCAAATACAGTGGTTAACAGGGCTATATATTTTGTGACATTGTATTTCGTCTTTGTCTTTGGCAAAGAAGCGTTGTAAATCCTGACAAGAGACGTGTTTGTTGATTGGCATAGAGATTAAATAACACATTTAAACAGAGTTCACGTTTCAAGTTTCAGCTGACACCCCCCCTCCGCCCCCTTCCAGCCTCAATCATTTACCAATGGGAAGAGATTGCAATTTTTTAGCGTAATTTACAAACCATAAGGGATACAATATGAGAAACATGTGGAAAACTAAATAATATCCCGGACATATTTTATTTAAACCTTTACCGCACGGTTTACACCATCAGTAGCCAGAAAACAATTAAAGGAAAACGTTATATCACATTGTTGACAATAAAATCTAAACCATGACCGCCAAAAAGCCATAAACCAAATGTAGGAAAGACTTATTTCACATTGTTGATAATAAAATCCAAACCACGACCGGAAAAAATGTGTATAAATCTGTTACGCCATAGCTATTTTAATAGCTTTAGTCGCCCGAAAACAATTTGAGGAAAGTCTTACGTGCTCAAAGTAAGAAAAGTTATTTAGCAGTTTCTGCTTTCGGTATTACAGAAGATCGACCCTTGCATCAGCTTTCTTGATTCCGGCAAAGATCATTTTCGTGCCTGGGATATTCTTCTTCGGGTTCTCCAGGTATTCGAAGATGGTTTCCCGCCCGCAAGTAATGCCTAAAAAAAGGACAAATATTTCAAATTTTATAGCTCACATGCAGGGTTACCTGAAAAAGGAGAAGTCGTATCGACTTGTGACGCTTTACTGTTTATGAAAGAGAGCGGAAGTAAAACAGACCCTCCCCTTTGATAGAATGTAGATAGTTCTGTACACGCGCTAGCGTGTGTGTGTGTGTGTGTGTGCATGTGTGTGTGTGTGTGTGTGCGTGTGAAAGAGCAAGCGCACATTCAGTCAAAACACAGACCTGTAGCATTGTTTGTCTCACTGTAAACAAATCCTGGTGACTGTCCAATTTGGCGGCCAAGAAGCCCGTAGAAGTTTGCCCCAGTCTTATGAGGTTGAGTCTTAAGAACGTGACAGTTGCCACATTGCTCTTTATAAATGGCCCTCCCCTTCTCAAAGCCCCAGTTAGTAGCTCCACATCTGTACGACCCCATAACCTGTGCAAAAAAAAAAAAAAAAAAAAAAAAAAGAACATTAAAGAGGATAAAAAAAAGTTCAATTTTATTTGTTTCTATTTTTTCATGTTTCATTATCTTATCTTTTCAAAGCAAAATTTAAAACCACTTTTTAGAGTGCTTTCACCTAGTCGAAGTCTGGAATGGCAAGGTACGGTTGATTTTACATGTACTAAGCATAGAAGTACTAAGTTATAACAGGCCCAACCAGTCCAATGGGTCTGGCAAAGCAATTCAAGGGAAAATTTGCCGACACTGACTAGTTGGTAATAAATAAATGACCTCTCCGTTAGAGCAGGTGGAGATATTATTTCTGTAGTTCTTTTCCATAATGGTACTGACAGCGGTTTCTGTACTATACCGGGATGAAAAAATTATCAGCAAAAATAAATAAATAAATAAATAAAATTAATTAATTAATTTAAAAAATAAAAAGCGCTTTTACAAGATAAATAAATTAATAAGATGTTCACGCCATGTAGATAAGTTACGATTGACTGTCAGGTTTATATGAAAGGAAATCTCGTCCAATATCATATATTTGAGGGATATGAAGACTAAGTATATATTTTTTTTACATTTTTAAAAGTTTTTTCACCGTAGAATCGGTCATTTGCATGACACCGGAATTGGTGAGCAAAACATTCTCATGTTACCCAGTCTTTATTTTTACCGGTATTCTAAATTCATTTATATTATTCATATATGTTTTCATATATATATATATATATATATATATATATATATATATATATATATATATATATATATATATATATATATATATATATAAGTTAAAGATATTTTATACGTGTTTGAAAATGCCCAAATCATTATCCTTTGTCTAATATGCTGCAAAACTTATAAATATAATGTGTTAAGGGAGTAGCCTTTTTATTTAGCTGTTCACTTTATGATGGCCATAAAAGGCGTATTTTTGATAACCCACTGGACCCGATAAATAATAACGACTAACTATAATTCATTTTGACTACAAACCAGGGGCGGATCGACGCCGTCGTCTGGGTCTTCCGGAATATGGTCAGAATTTTTTAAGTTCACATTAATGGGGATCTAATTTTTTGTCAGAAGACGGTTCATTATGGGAGTATGGATCAACTAAGATAATTTGAAAGACTGTCAGAAAATATCGCTGGATCCGCCCTTGTAAAGAGTAGGAAATTGGCCAAATGTTTGGTGTGTGCTTTTGAAGGAAGCGAGCCAGTCACGTATTGACCATGGCTATTTTTATATTGATAATTGAACATTTATATTATTTTTAATTTACTATTATCATTTTCCTATAAACTGCCGACTTTGAGAAATCCAATGCGTGGTGACAAATGGGTCCAGAGATACAGACGTACCTTTCTCACAATAAAATAATTTTCTTTGTAATAATTTTATGGTCTAAGTTACACATGCGATAAGCCCCCTCATATATAAAAACGCCCCATGCCGATAATTCCTCTTAAAAGACAAGAAAGATGATGGGGGTGTCTAAATGAAAGGTAATTCGTTAGGAACAGCTACTTAAACGGGCACACAAAGCGGTTTTGGTTGGAAATGATAAACAAAAACACTCCAAATGAACAAAATCTATTTCAAATTCAACGTCAAACACGCGTCCTTGAACGTAATCAGGGACAAAAGTCCCTTCTCTACCAGTAGAGATTTTCATTTGGGAAGTCGAGGTGGCAGAATTGTGAGGGAATGCGTGTTAGTATTCGTTTTTTTTTTTATTTTTGACAAAAGCCTCATTAAAATTATTCCTCTTCAAATCAACTGCACGTTTCATTTATGCACGTTAAACTAAGTGAACAGTGAACGAGTAATAGTGGATGCCTTTATTTGGTAGTGTAACCTCACAACATTTAGAAAAACATCACACACAAATATTGTGGCAGTATATGCGCTTGTATACATATGGGAATTTCATGCTGACCAAGAAACAGAAAATAGTGCTTTTTCTACAGGGTACATACAGCTAAAAATACTGCTGCTATAATAAATATACACATCATTTGAAACCAGAGTCACAGCAAATGCGTCAATGTTCAAAATATCTCTTCAATGCCTTTACTTGTAAACAGTAAATACATACAATAAATAGGTAAAATTCTTCTACCCGTATGGTTTTGTACAGGGCAGACTGGGTTAGTTCTCTATTGGCTGAGGAAGTCCATAAGGTCTGCATAGAAATGCTGCTATTCTATTGATAGTTCGTATTGAGAAACTTGGAAAGACAGAAAGACAAAAATATTGCCTCACAGCCAACCAAATGAGCCATATTTACAACCACATGTGTTATAATTATCTATATTCAGTGTTTTTAGCTTTCTTAATCCATACATAGTGAAGAAGTTCTGATATCCATGTTAATTCAAATTATTAAAGAAAGATTTTTCTAGACAATGAGGGTAGGTAAGTCCAAGGTGTGCTTTTAAATAATCACTTCAAAAGTGTCTAAGTTGATCATTGTAACTTGTCTATGTGTCAATTATCCTAAAAGTTAGAAACGTTATTTAGCTGTTTCTACTTCCAGGTATTTTATAAGATCGCCTCTTGCGCCAGGTTTCTTGATTCCAGCAAAGATCATTTTTGTGCCTGGGATATATTTCTTCGGGTTCTCCAGGTATTCGAAGATGGTTTCCCGTGCCCAGGTAATTCCTAAAATAATTATAATAATAATAATAATAATAAACTCACATAATATCAAAATGAATACCTTTCACAATGTTTCATGAGAGTTAAAACTACATCAAAGTAGAAATCATGCCAAATTGTGATTATTTTCAAGTCCGATATTTGAAAATGCAATGTTGAGACAGTATTTACCCCTTTAAAAAATGTAGCATTGCTCTGTACATGCACACGTGTCCATGTGAGAGAAAGGGAGCTTTCACAATCAAATGACTCTCGGGATAACTACATAGCAGCTCAAATATAGTGCGACCCACTTGAAAGCATGTGCCGATATTGAATTGCTATGCCCCTGCTGGGAGGCGGGGCATACTTTACACCATTGTTACGGGATTGCGCGCTAAACTTTCAAGTGTGGACCATATTTCAACTGGTTGTGATTGCTCCCACAAAGGGTGCCATATTCCATCAAATGGATTACCTTTGGACTTGTTGGCGTCAGTGTAAGCAAATCCTGGTGCCTGTCCAGTTTGGCGACCAAAAAGCCCGTAGAGGTTTGGTCCTGTCTTGTGGGGTTGATCCTTATTCAATGTGTGACACTGCGAACATTTCTGCTTGAAGACCTGCTTTCCCTTTTCATAGTCGCCCTCTGGGATTCCCCCTTTCTTTCCCATGATCTATAAAGAATGAAATCATTAGTTATAAATAATGTGTATTTGTCATTACTTTTTACATGTATCAGTGTCTTTTTTTTTTTAATATCTTATTTCCACAATATGTAAAGCCATTTTACTGGGTGTATATTATTCTTCAAGGCATAGTATGATATGGAAATGTCCACTTGAATTATGCATAGATAAAACGGGCCCAACTTGGCAAATGGGTCTGTCAAAACAATCCAAGATCAAGCAAACTAACCAGGCTCCCATTTTACACAAAAAAAAAAAAAAAAAAAAAAAAAAAAAAAT